CTAATAAAAAAGAGAGATAGTATATTTATACTTTTAATATACCCGTTATTATAGAGTAATATTTATATAATCTATAAGATTAACTATAGTTTCCTTTACTAGAAGAGAAAATAGTAAAATTAAAGAAGGATCTAATAGTCTACTACTATTATTATTATTAATAGTTTTAATATTATTATTATTATTATTAGAATTAGCTTTAGTAGTACTTTCCGTAATACTTTCCATATTATCTTATAGCTTCCAGAAGTCGGTAAGTAGAAAAGAATCCTGGTATATATAAGTTAATTAAATCTAAAAATAAAGGTTTATAGAAGAAATAAAGAATAGGAGCCAGAATTAAAGAAAAGAATTATATATATATCTTTATTTACCTATTAGTTTATTAGATTCCTTCTTATTCTCAAAGTCTTATACCTATACTAGCAGGTAATACTCTTTTGGGCCCTCTGAGCCTCCTTAGTTTATTATTTAATCTCCTTAAATTACTATATCTTCTGAGTATTTTCTAGCTCTTTATAAGTAATTTTAAGATAGAGATCTTTATATAAAGTCTTATTCTAGTATAAAATAAGGAAAATTATCCAGATACTCTTAGGGCCCAGATATATACTATAGTAGGAAAGGTTAAAAATAGTTTAAATAGAACCTGGTAAGACTATAAGTTCCTGGGCTCTTTTATTATTAGAACTAGTATAAAATACTAGTTTATTTATATTATTAATAAATTAATAATAGCAGATAGGTCCGCTAATATAGAAAGAGAAGTAAGGAAATAGCTACTAAGAAACTATATTAAAAAGAATAGAAAAGACTTAATTATTTAATTCAAATTAAAAGCTATTTATTAAAAAATATCTATTAGAATTCATATAAAGAATCTAGTAAAAGAAATAAGAGGAAACTTACTATTAACTTCTTTAGAAAGTTAGATAGTTCTTTATTTAGCTCTCTAATTCTTTATATTATTAAATGTCTATTTATAGAGAACTAGCTATAAAACTATAGTCTATAATTCTATAAAACTAGATCCGGCTATATTTTGATTTATAAGACCTTAAAAAACTCCAGGTAACCTATTACTAGTATAAGGAGCTATAGCCTGGGTAATAGCCTGAGTAACTCTCGTATTTATAATTTATTAAGCTTATATAATAGTATAAGTATTACTAGAAAAGTAATTAGGTTATGTAATATGGCTTGTAGTAAAAGGAAATATAAAAGGAAGTAGTTATAGGATTATTAAAATAGGAGAAGCTTAAGATAAAATAGAAATAATACCTGGTAGCTATATAATAATAATAATTAGAGAAATAGATATAGTAGATATTCCTAGAAAAAAAAATACGGGATAAGAATACTAAGAAAAGCTAGGGATCTAAAGTATTCCAGATATAAAGAAAGAGGCAAATACAAATGGAATTCCAGAATTATAAGGTTTAAGTTTACTAGTATTACTATTCTGGATAAGTAAAGCGGCGGCCTCTATATTATATTCATTATTAGTAGATTAATAGAACTTGTAATATTAGATATTATTATACTAGTATTTGGCTATAGGATATATAATATTAGAATAGGTTTTAAGAAATAGTAATATTATTTTAAGAAATAAGAATTTAAGGATATAAAATATTTATATAGTAAATAAACTTAATAATTCTATTAGTACTATTCTTAAAAGTAAGAAGAGGGTTTCGAAAATAATATATTTAATAATAAATAATATTTATTTTAATATACCTAGTTATTCTATAACCGGTTTATTTAATTACCTTATATTATTAGGAGTATTACTAATAAAGAGCTATTTCTGGATAAAGTCCTGAATTATTAGGAACTATATAAATATTCTTCTGGCCTATATATTACTTATATATTCTATATTTATTAGAATAACTTATTTAAGAATCCTATTTCATATAATAGTAGTATTATATTTACTAGTTAGCTTCTCGGATTCTCCTAATATTAGTAGCTGCCCTGAGGCTATATATATCCGGACTATATATTAGAACTAGTAGTAAGCTTAAATATATAATTAGTTACTATTTCTATTAGTATTTCCTATATAAATATTAGTTATATTTATATTATAAGATATAAGCTTCTAATAATACTACTCTAGTATTTCTCTTAGTAGAAACTTATTAATATCTATATTAGTATATAAGTAAACTATCTATATAGAGCTATATAAGGTTATATTACTTATTTTAAACTAAATAGTTATTAAGAATTATATTATAAAGCTCTATATCTATAGGGTAATCCTAGTACTATACCCTGCCTAGGAGCCTCATATATAGTCTAAATGACTTACTAGCTATTATATTAGGCCTAGATCTGTTTTTTCTAATCCTATAAATATTCTATAAGTCCGTAAACCTATATACCTTATTTTGGATCCGCTATATATAAAGTACTAGTAAAGTAATCCGGTCCTATAGGTATTAGTAATTGTAATTCCCGGTATGAGCCAGTTCCTAAAAGTAGTTCTATATATACTAATCAGAATTAGTTATATAATCCGGTACTATAATACTAGACCTAATAGCCTTAATAAAAAGTAGTATAATTATTAGTATCTAATACTCTTTCCTAATAATAGAAAGAATAAGAGGCAGATATAGGGAAACGGAATTACTTATATATTACCGGTATAGCTAGCTTTTCTAAAGCTCTTACTACTAGGATTTAACTTACTAATTCTCGGTACTTTTCCTAGAAATAAAGTAGTTCTCTATATATATAACTAATAGATTAGCTATCTGCAAGAATATAAAGTATACTTTAGTAATAAGGGAAAGTTCAGAGCCTCGATTAGCCCTAAAGAAGTAAGAATAATAGCCCATTTAAGTACAAATCTAAAGATATTACTATATAACCAAATAGGTAGTTTAATTAGAGATTCTAATATATATCTAAATAATATTATATAAATAAGTATTAATATAAGTATATATCTCGATCTCAAATAGTAATAGCTTATTATATCTATTAATTAACTAAATCTAGTCCGGTCTAGATATAATATATTTTCCTTTCTTAGACTATATCCGTTATATTTATAGTATAATTGCCTCGGGATCTAGAAGTTATAATATTATATATAAGCTTTTTCTATAAATAATAAAATATATTAGTAAATAAGGCCCTAATCTTCTAAGCTAGGGCGAAATAGTAAAGTATAAAAAGGCTAACCGGGTTACTAGTAAACCTTATTAACGGAAGTACGTATATAAATACCGCCGTCTATAACCTGTAATCCGCCTATTATTTAGCTTATTCTATAATATTATAAATAGTTATTCGTCTGCCGCTTGCCTGTCTATTATAGTTATATAGTAAATAAGACTAAGCTTCTTATATATACGGATAACTCTAGTAATTGAAACTATATAGCCGTAATTCTCAAGATCCTCAAGTATTTCCTTATTTATATTTCCCAGATAATATAGGATTATAATCTATATATAAAGAAAAGGCATATTCGCTATTTGAGTATATACTTGAATATTTCATTCTTATAATTAGTATTTGATTATACGGGTATTAATATTAATTTTCCATAAATCTTTTAATCTTATTATAATTATTTTATAGGAAATGTTTATATAAGTTTATTTAATAATAGTATTATAATGTAGTAAAAGATTTATAGAGTATTATAGTATTTTAATATAATTAAATAAGGTATTAATAGTATTAATATATTATAAGTTTAGGCTATATATTACTATTACGAAGTACTTTTAGTAATATAAGTACTAAATTACTAGAGTAATAGTGAGGCGTATCCTAAAAATAGAGGGGCAGGTACGTATAATTGTCAGAAATTAGAAAATCAGAAATCGAAAATCAGAAAATCAAATCTCGCTTCTCTGTTTTGTTGACTAGCTAGCTGTGGGCCTTAGTAAGCAATAGAAAAAAATCATGCTTAATAGAAATTAACTTCGAATATAATATGCCTATGGCTTCCAGAATTACAGCCTGAGCGAGGCCGGTCTTGTGTGCTTCTAATAATATACGACAATATCATTACCGCAAGGCTGCCTAAGCTAAGTCCGCTAGCCTTAATACGGTACTTTCTCCAACTTCACTCCGCATCTATATTAATTCGACGGCTTAATAACTACCCGAAACCCTACCCTACCGCGACCCTTGAATCTTTCGAATAATGCGTCTGCTATAGTCTAATAATAATGGCAATCTTAGCCTGACCGAGTTCTTTAAAAGCGCCATACCCAACTATACTATACTTTTATATAGGTAGGGAACGGACGAGGTTACCTTCAAGGACCTGATAGACGGTACGAGTAAGAGTAAAGCTGGCGGCTATAGCAAGATATAGTTCTGCGGAGAACAGGCTAGGCATAATGGCTTGAAATACTTCTGGGTTAATACATACTATATTAATAAATCGAGTAGCGCTAAGCTCTCTGAAGCTATTAACTCGATGTTTCGCTAGTATTAGAAAGCGGCCAGATACTATATCTACTTATCTGATATTTCGATACGAAAGCGGAAAGCAAGTAATACGTCTATTATATATACTTGGGAATCTGCTTTCCAAGCAAGCAAATGGTTTATACGGGGCTGGACCTTACAAGAACTCCTTGCTCTAAGATTAGTTGAATTCTACTCCCGGGAAGGCAAGAGTCTAGGTAATAAGAGAACTCTCGAGTAACAAATCCACGAGATTACTAGAGTTCCTGCTACGGTACTTCGAGAAAACTCCCTCTCCCAGTTCGACGTCAATGAATGATTCTCCTGGGCAAAAAGCCAATAGACTATATATAGAGAAGACAAGGCATATTCGCTCTTTGGGATTTTCGATATCCAGATACCACTTCTTTATAGCAAAGGAGAAGTCAAGGCGTTTCTGTAGCTCCGGGAGGCAATTGACAGACCTTTGAAGGGTAAGTCCTATCCTAATGACTGATGCCTAATATACCTCCTAGTAAGTTACAAAGGTCCAAGCCGACCCCGCACTAATGATGTCCCGATATACAGAACGACCAGAGACTCTACCGAACCCGTTAATCGTCATACCCTTTAGTCGCGATACAGACTTCGTCGAGCGAGGGATACTCGATCAGATTTACCAGAAATGCACTGTCTTGGGATCTCGAATCGCACTTGTTGGCCTGGGTGGCATCGGGTAGGCGCAAATGCTACTGCTAATATGGATTACTAACTGTTTTGAAGCAAATCTCAACTCGCCATCAAATACGCATATTGAACTCGAGATCGCTCGCCGGAGATATGGGTATTCTGGATTCACGCAAGTAATACCGCTCGGTTTGAGTAGAGCTTTCGAGATATTGCAAACTATATCAAAATCTTTGGACGACTGAATCCAATGGCTAATATTTTCCAGCTCGTATACGACTGGCTGTGTAATGACAGGGAGGGAAAGTGGGTTCTTATACTTGATAATGTGGATTATGCTGGGTTTCTCGTCGAGGCTCCAACCGGTGATCAGGATAGGCATACGAATAGCAGAGGAAGTGAGAAGGTCAAACGGCTTGTGGAATACCTGCTGCAGTGTCCGCATAGATCGATTCTCATAATAATACGAAGCAAAAGCGCTGCTCTGAAGGTAGCTGAACAGGGCGGTATTATTATAGTTGAACTAATGAACAGGGCAGATGGGCTGGCACTGTTTGAGAAGAAGCTAGGATGGTACGATAACGGCGAGGATGTTAATGAGCTTGCTGCGGTACTCGAGTATATGCCTCTCGCCATTGTCCAAGCTACTGCATATATCTCCCAAAGAGTACCGTGCTATTCCGTGCGATAGTATCTCCAGGACTTTCGGAGGAGCGATAGTAAGAAAACCAGCCTACTTAACTGCGATGGCGGACAGCTCCGTCGAGATGGGGAGGCGAAGAACTCTATTATTATTATATGGCAGATATCGTTCGAGTATATCCATGAGATATGACTAATAGCTGCTGATTTATTGTCGCTTATGAGGTTTTTTGACCGGCAAGGAATCCCTGAGGCTCCACTTCGAAGTCGATATGAGTAGTCGCAGTACAACTATGAAAAGAACCACGATGACAATTATCGTAATATTGATACTGAGTATAGTAATAACGATGAAGATGAAGGATTACAGTCTAGCGTGAATGATGGGTTCGAAGATGATCTCTTGGTCTTACGAAATTACTCTTTTATCTCTGATAATATAGACGGTATAACCTTCGAAATGTACGGACTAGTATAGCTAGCAATGCGAAACTGGCTTGAAGCTTATAGGCAGATAGAGAAGTAGAAAGGTGCATTTCTCAGGAATCTTGATGCAGGACTTCCGATAGGAGAGTACAAGAATTGGAAAAGGTGTCGAGCACTTTTCCCATATGCGCAATCGGTAGCAGTACAGAAGCCAAAGGAATCAGACTCTTTAATAGACTGGGCGTTAGTACTATATAAAGCAGTATGGTACGCATGGAGAATGGGGAAAGGTGTAGAGGCAGAGAATCTGTTAGTTCGCGTAATGAAAGTTCGCAAGAAGATTTTCGGTAATGAGTACGAGGATACGCTAGGTGGGATGGCAATAGCGGGCTTAGCATATAATCTGAATGGCCGGTGGGATGATGCTGAAAAGCTGTAGGTGCAAGTCATGGAGACTTGTAAGACAAAGCTCGGAGTGGACCACCCTTCCACGCTGTCTAGTATAGCCAACCCAGGCTCGGCAAAAATACCTGAGGTATTAATAAGGAATTAATAGTTACTAGTATTAATAAGGTATTAGTAAGTATCGATATGTATCGATTCCTTATCGATTCCTATACCGCTTCTTATCCCGCACCCTCTAATTTTTCACTTACTCTATTCTCACATCTTTTATTCTTATTCTATTTGGATTATATGCTCAAAATGTCTTCTTTGCATAAGCTAGACTCTTCCTCTCTAGCTTCTGCTTTTGTAGATCTAGAACTAGAAGCCCCTTCTAGCCGAAAATTGAGGGCCCTGGTCTGGAAGTATATACGTGATCCTACTGAGAAGAAGAACCAAGCCCACTTCTATTATATCCATTATAATAAGAAAACGAGAAAGCCATATTATACTTCTCTTTTAAAGAATATAAAGAAGTATATACAAGGTTTTTATAAGATCCCTATTAAGATGGCTATTAGTAAGAACCAAGTAATAGTTAATTTATAATTGAGGTAATATTACTACCAAGCTACTAGAACAAGCGAGCAAGAGGAGCTTGATACTAAGATCCTGGAAGCTTACCTTAATATCTGGGTTATTCTTAAAGCTCTGATTACTCTTATTATTATATGGAATCTGTCCTATACTCTTATTAAATGGCCAGAGTTCCATATGCTTTGCCAAGTACTCAATCGAGCTATTAAAGGCAAGATTATAACTTCGCATTCAGGAATTACTAGCTCTGTTAAAGGCGCTTGGAAAGGCCACCAGGATACCGTACGACAAGTAGTCCAGGCTATACTCTTACTTATTTATATCTCTCTAGATATCTGGACCTCTTCAAATCAATTACTTTTACTCGTAATCTATAGCCATTTTACTATATATAATAGAAAGTAATAAAAGGCCCTTCTCGCTTTAAAGCAGATCCCTGGCCATAGCTCAGAAGCTCAAATATTAATTCTTTAGCCAGTTCTTCAAGATTATGATATTATATATAAGCTTGGAGCTATTATATATAATAATGCCTCAATAAATAATATCCTTTATTAATTAGTTCAAAAGAAGCTAAAGGATAAGCTGAGCTTGGACTAGAAGGCAAATTACTAGTATATTCGCTATCTGGGCCATATTATTAATCTAGTTATATAAGCCTTCTTATTTACGAATCAGGTTAGCTTGGAGAACCTTGATTTATATAATAAACAGGAGCGGAATACTAGAGTCTTTAATATAATAAAGGTAATAAAGGCCCAGTTTAGGCTAATAGGACCCCTTGGCCAAGTATATAATATTATGGTTTATATTCGTAAGTTAGCTAGAAAAATAGAGGAGTTTCGTATACTTGCGAAAAGGCTAATTCTAATAGATAATTATATAAGGTGAAATAGCTAGTATAAGATACTTTATATACTACTTAACTTGAGGCCGGTAATAGAAAGGTATTATTAAAACTATAAGGAGAAGCTTAAGGAGAATATCTTGACTCCTAAAGATTAGAAAAAGCTTTATATAATTAAGGACTTCCTTATATTCTTTATACGAGCTACTCTTATAGCTAAGGGCTCAACTTTCCTTAATTCTATTTTCTTTATAATAGATATCTTAATTAAATACCTCTAATAAGAGAATATAAGTTATTCTTTCCTTTTATATAATCTCATATAACTATACTAATTCTAATAGGCTAAATATTAGAAAAGTAAGAATCCAGAGAAGAAAGACTTCCTTTATTAAATCAAAGCAGTATATAAGGTTCTGGATAATTATTATATAAGAACTAATATATTTCTAGTTTATATTACCGTATTAATTTTAAATTCTTATAATTATATAAGGTGTATTAAGATATACTAGCTAAAGAAATAGTTAAAGCCAGTCTTAGCTAAGGTTAAAAAGCTCTAGGAGAAATATCGGGAAAGGCCTATTACTATACCTATATTACTAGCTTTTTGGTATAAAAGCTTGTCTTATAAGATACTAGAACTAGATATATATAATTATATTACCTTATTTCTTAGAGCAGAAGCTCGTTCTATAAGTCAAGACGAGTTTAAGAACTATAACTTACTAGAATTATATAATCCTGGTAAATAGGAAGCCCCTATATAGTAGTATTAGGATATATAGAGGTAATACTAGCTAAGGCTCTCTCTTATGGCTATTAATATTCTCTCTATTCTACTAATAAGTAATAAGCCAGAGAGAGTATTTTCAGGAGAATATTATATAGTAAGCTAGGATAGGATATAAATAGAGGCAAAGATAATTGAGATATAAGAGTACTTAAAGTACTAGAAAAGAAATAGGATTCTAAATACTTTCCTTAAGACTAAGAGAGGAATCTAAGAATAAAGGAAGATTCTATACTTTTTATATAATACTTTAGGGCCAGATTAGAATCTCTTCTTTTAGTTTTTAGGTACTATATAAAAGTAATTATAATTATAAGTAAAATTAAAAGAGGGTAAATATTAAGAGCTTAATATAGTCTATTAAATATTATATAAAAGCCAGGCAATTATATAATATAAAGAGAGCAAGTAGCCCTATCTAGAACCTATAAACTTATTAGCTAGGATAAGCTCCAGGCTTTAAAACCCGTTTACTTCATATAATTTTAGGAGATTTAGGCTTTCCTCCAGAATCTCCCTCTCCTCTATTATTATTAATATCTTATATAATATATTAGGTCACATAATTACAACGAATACAGTTACTATATGCCTTATACTATTCTCTACCAGGAATCCTTAAATACTCTATAAATATACCTTGACCCTTATTATAAATAGTATAAGAAGTCTGGGTATTAACTTTGCTACTATATTACTTAGTATAGATCATATGAACTCAGGAGAAGTAACTTATACTCGCTGGGTCAAGATTATATTAATAACCTCAGGGAGAAGTAAGGTATTAAAGGTACCAGGAGTATAGGGTCCCTTAATTACAATATCTGAGGATTCTGGATTATTAATATTAAAGGTATGCTTCTACTAAGGGCTACTATTAATAACTAAGGGCTAGAGCTCATTTCCTCCTATATAAAGGAAGTACTGAGCCTTAGTATTATTAGAGAGGTCTATACGAGTCCAGATAACGAGATCTTATTAAGCTTGGGCTACTATTATATATATATATATATGAAGTAGTATATATAAAGTATTATATGTGAGGTATATATATAGAGTATATAAGGAGAGAGAGAGAGTATATATATATATAAGGAAGTTGGAGGGAGGGCTAAGAGCTAAGAGCCTATTATATAGATATCTAGGGCTAAAAATGACTTAAATAGGAGCCTAAATAATTTAGATTAAGCTATAAATCAAGCTATGAATTATATAGTTATTTGGTATAGTTTAGATAATGCGGGGAAAATAAATTAGCTAGAGCCTTAGAAATAGGGCTACAAAGCTGTGAATTATATAGTTATTTACTATAGTTCAGATAATGGAATTAAAATAATTAGCTAGGGTATTAGAATTAGTTATATTAAGCTATGAATTATATGATTATTTAGTAAATCAGATAGTAGGGTTAAAATAATTAGGTAGGGCCTTAGAAATAGGGCAAATACTGACTAAGTATTAATAGAACTATTAATACTATTAATACCTTACGATTCTGGCATCGATTTCTATCAATACCGGAAATTAGGGAATTTTTGCCGAGCCTGAGCCAACCTAGTATCGACGCTTTGGAACCAAGGCCAGTGGGATAATACTGAAAAGCTGGAGGTGCAAGTCATGAAGACAAGCAAGACGAAGCTTAGAGTGGACTACCCAGACATACTATCGAGTATGGCCAACCTAGCGGTAATACTATGGAATCAAGGCCGGTAGGATAATACTGAAAAACTAGAGGTACAAGTCATGGAGACAAGCAAGACGAAGCTCGGAGTAAACCACCCAGATATGCTATCGAGCATGGCCAACCTAGCGGCAACATACAGGAACTAAGGCCAGTGGGATAATACTGAAAATCTGGATATATAAGTCATGGAGACGAGTAAGACGAAGCTCGGAGTAGACTACCCAGATACGCTATTGAGTATGGCCAACCTAGTATTAATGCTTTGGAACCAAGGCCGGTGGGATAAGGCTAAAAAGCTAGACGTATAAGTTATAGAGACGAGTAAGACGAAGCTCGGAGTGGACTATCCAGATACACTATCGAGTATAGCTAACCTAGTATTAATACTTTGGAGCCAAGGCCGGTGGGATAATACTAAAAAGCTAGATATATAAGTTATAGAGACTTATAAGACGAAGCTCGGAGTGGACTACCCAGATATACTATTAAGTATAGCTAATCTAGTAGTAATATATAGGAACTAAGGCCGGTGAAACGAGGCTAAAAAGCTATAGGTATAAGTTATAGAGATATATAAGACAAAGCTCGGAGTAAACTACCTTTCTATACTATTAAGTATGGCTAACCTAGTAATAATATATAGGAACTAAGGCCAGTAGAATAAGGCTAAAAAGCTAGAGATATAAGTTATAGAGATAAGTAAGACAAAGCTCGGAGTGAACTACCCTTCTATACTATTAAGTATAACTAATCTAGTAGTAATATACAGAGACCAAGACCGGTAAGATAATACTAAAAAGCTAGATATATAAGTTATAGAAATAAGTAAGACAAAGCTCGAAATAGACTATTTAGATATATTATTAAATATAGCTAATCTAGTAGTAATATACAGGAACCAAAACCGGTAGAATAATATTAAAAAGCTAGATATATAAGTTATAGAAACAAGTAAGACAAAGCTCGGAATAGACTATTTAGATATATTATTAAATATAGCTAATCTAGTAGTAATATATAGGAACTAAAACCGGTAGAATAATATTAAAAAGCTAGATATATAAGTTATAGAAACAAGTAAGACAAAGCTCGGAATAGACTATTTAGATATATTATTAAATATAGCTAATCTAGTAGTAATATATAGGAATTAAAACCGGTAAAATAATATTAAAAAGCTAGATATATAAGTTATAGAAATAAGTAAAATAAAGTTTAGAGTAAACTATCCAGATATATTATCTAGTATAGCTAATCTAGTATTTATATAAAAAGGAAATAGTAAAGAAACCAAAGCTATAAGACTTATAGAAGATTATATATAATTTCGGAAATGTGTTTTAGGGCTTAATTATCTATATTTTATTTCATCTAGTAAAGCTTTAGATATATAAAAGACTAAACTAAAGAATATTAGTTATATTATTAATCTAAGTACTAAAGATATATTAATTTAATAGATTATAAAATATACTATAGTATTATAAATATATATAATAGAAATACCGATTTATACTTTATAGATAAGTTATTTAGTATAAATATATAAGCTTTTAAATAAGGTACCTCTATTAGTATTAATAAGTTCCAGGCGAATTTTATATAATTATTCAGGAATATATATTTCGAGTCGAGTATATAGAACTATTTCTTATTAAGATTATTACTCATTTTAATCCGAAATACTAATTCATATAGTAATCTTATATAAATCTACGGGCTATAGCTACTATAAGGCTATTAATAATACTCTTTATAATAGGGAAACTTAAGAATCCAACTAAGATACTTTAATAAGTTTTAGAAATAGAATAAGTCCGGTAATATAGCTATATTAGAAGAAGTCTATTATATTATAAAAGGAAACCTTTTATAATTAGGTATAAGGGCAATAATATAAATGTAATTTATTTAGTTAGAAGTATTTAAATTATTCCGAAATAATTAAGAAATATAAATTATAAAAAATAATAAGATATAATACTATATATACGAATTTTATAATACTTAAAGTTTATATACTAGTTAAATTTTCTAGTATATAGGATTTTCCGGTATATAGAAATAAATATTATTTAGTTATTATATCTTATATGTTTTTTTAGCTATAAAGGTTTAAAGTTAGTAATTCGATATATATATTTATAGAAGTAACTAAATAAACTAACTAGTCTAACTAAGATCTATTCCTATAAAGGAAATTAAGTATAAAAGCAGTCTTTCTTTTCTCTTATCTCTTTTCCTCTCTCTCTTTTTATTTACTTTATTATAAGTATATTATTCTATTTCCCTATATTATAAGATATTATATCTGAGATTTCTATTACTAGAAATTAGAATACTTTAAATCTAAATACCTATAATAGTATATCTACTATATAGGGAAGATTATTAAAATATCCGAAAAGAATCTATTCTTAATTATTTCGAACCTGTTCCCAAAATAAAAAGAAGTTCTCTTAGTCTAATATAGTTAAGTTTAGAGAATAGTATATATAATTACTAAAGTATTTAAGGTATATCCGAAGATCCTCTATTCTTATTTAGTAGGTAATCTTCTAATAATATATAGAAATATTAGTATATAACGAATCGGAAACTTCTTTCTTTACTAATCCCGAAACTACTAGTAAATCAAATAAACCTACTAATCCGGTTATCTCCGGACTATAATAGGATATTAAAAACAAATACTAAATTAATAATAATAGTTATCCAATTTCTTAATTCGAGCCGGAAAGCTAGTCTGACTCTTATTTTATTATATCTTTATAGGTTAAGATTAACTAATATAGTAATTATAGAATAAAAGGAAATATATTAAATAAGCTAGTATTCTGCTTTTAATTTATATCTTTTAAAGGATATAATAGAGAGCCTGTAACTATATAGGCTTATACTAGTAAAGGAACTGCCTATAAAAGTACTATAATTAATTATATAAATAATATAACGAAAAATATAACCCGTTTCTAATAATACTCTAGAATAACTATTATATTATCTATATTCGGAATTGAAAAGTAGGTAATAATAGATATAAAATAGAGTTCTTTAGGTAATCTCAAATATTAATAGAAAGAATTTAATTCTTATAATATCTCTAATATAAGTTACGGAAATTTAGGTTCTAAAAGCAGAAGTGAGTTTTAATTTATACTATAGATTATTTTGGCTAACTAGAATCAGGTCCTTTTCTTAATATTTCTAAGAAGCTTAAATCTTATAGAACCAAAATAACTAATAGAAAATAGTAAATAACTATCTTTATTTAGAATATAAAATATACTATTAAATATATTAAAAGTACTATTAAGTAAATCGGAAAACTAAATAGTTTTTTTAAAAGACTTAAATCTAATAGCCTGCCTATAAAAGAAAAGAAAATTATTAATATAAGTCTTAAAGCTAATAATTTACTATAGGATATAATCCAAATTTTGGAAAATTACAGGATTAGTATATAAAATAAAGAGAATAAAGATAATAAAGATAATAAGTTTTAATAATAAGTTTTTTTATATATTTTCTTTTTAATATTATAAATATATAATAAAGAGAAAATTTTAATAGATAATAGTTTATAGGCCATTTTATATAGTAAAAAGAATTAATAATAACTTAAATAAAAGTTTATAAATACTATACTATATTCTCCGAGATTTATATAAAAATAATAGGCCGAGATTCTATAATCTTTATAGAAAAAGCCTGTTCCTATATTATAGATATATCTAGACTAAATTAAGTATATTAATAATTTATTAAAGAGTAATTAGACTAGAGAAATATAATAATACCCTAAGAAAAGTTAGTTTATTAATATTATAGGTATATAATTAGACCTATATTCTTTAATACTGGCCTAATATATCTAATCTCGACTATATCTCTTTTAAGTAGCTATTTCTTATACTATACTTTTATATCTTCTTATAAAGAAGCTATATATATAACTATACTTTTTCTAAAGAAGCTATTTCTTATACTATATTTTTATATCCTTTTTTAAAAAGCTATATTTACTATTATATCTTTTTCTAAGAAGCTAGTTTCTATATTATACTTTTATATCCTCTTTTATTAAGTAGCCAGTTTTTATTCTATACTTTTATAACCTCTTCTAAAAAAGCTATATCTACTACTATACCTAAATAAAAATAATAAGTTAGGAATATTCGAAACTAAAGCCGATTTCGGACTTTATTATATTTAATATCTCAATTTATATAAATTAGAATTTATAATTAATTATCTAATATTTTAAAATAAAGAAGAAATTCTTAAAAAATTAAAATAATATATAATTATAAAATAAATAATATAATAATTCTTATTAGGAGACTATAACTTCCTCGAACTTTCTATTTAAATAAGAGTTCCGGAAATGAAAACTATTTTAAAATAATACTAAATATAATAATATTACCTAAATTACCGAAATATATAATATAAGTTAATAGTTCAGAACTGGCTATTCGGATTCATATAATAACCTTATAACTAATTATAGATATAGATTTTATAAATGGCTTTTAAGAGAATTATTTTATATTTGGCCTAATAGAAGTTATAATAACTTTATACTTATTACTAATTCTATATAAGTAGTACTTTATAAGTATTAATACTCTTTATTAAAAGAACTAAGAATATATATATAAATAATGAAATATATTTAATAGGTTAGCCAAATATATTAGTCTAGTAAATATAACTATAATATAGAATATCTAATAGCTACTATTATAAATATTATATCTTTATAAATACTATTTCTCCGGAATCCTAGTAATATAAACTATTATATTAATTATATTTAGCTCTCCTATTAATTCTATCTAACTCAAGTTTATTCTATAATTTTAGAAGACCCAATTATAGAATATAAGGCTATATATAATAAAGTAAATTATAGAAAGGCCGAGACTAGAATATATTATAGTCTAATATAGCCGAAAATTTAGATAATAAAATCTATAGTAAAGAGTAGTAATTATATAAATAGAAGCTAGAATTATAGTTATAAGCTAATATAGCTTTTAGAGCTTTGGTTTATAATAAAATCTATAGTAAATAGAAGAAATAATCGATTTCTATATTAAAATTATAATATCTAAGTAGCCGAAATAATTATTTAGTACTATTACTACTAAACTATAATTTAATATAATATGGAAAGAGGCCAAAAGAAGAAAGTAAATAGTAATATTCCAGAAAAATACTAAAAATATAATAATATTACCTAGTTAAGTATTTATATACTAATAGTAGACCTTACTATATATAGGAAATAGAAGAATTCCAAAAATAATTATACTAAAAAAATAAAAATAAAAATTTATAGTTTTATTATAGATATAACCTAGGCTCTTTAGAGACTAGTAGAAAGATCCAGATATAGAGTAATAACTAGCTAGTATAAACTTATTATCTTATTATTAGATATATAATTTATATTATAGTAATAGTCGAATACTATTAATTCGGACCTTCCTGTTTCTGGACTCCCTTAATAGTTTATTACTTTCTATAATTCGTATATTGCATTTATATAACTATATAATTAATTTAGATAATATATCCTTTCTATTCAAATATATAAAAAGAGTTTAAAAGTTAAAGAAAGGAAATACTATTGAAATAAGAAACCGGAATCGGATAAATACTAAAAATTATTATTATTATTATAGTATTAAAAAAGAGAGTTATATTAAATTCTAACCTTAATTAAACTAGAATTAGAGCTTTAGCTAAAATCAAGCCGGAAATAGATATAGTATAATTTATAGGAATTTCCTAGCCTATTAATTTTAAGATCTCTACTTATATTAATCTATATACTTGGACCTATAGAGAAATATTATACTAGATTTATTAATAATGAATTTTTAAGTATATCTAGTAAAAAGCTAGTAGTAATTCAAATTCACTTCCGTTTCTATTTATATAGCCCTTCTATCTTCCAAGGCTATTAATATATAGCTATAATTAAGACAGATCCTAATTAATAAAGCTATTTTAGTAA